AACGAACTTTAAGTAGTACTTTCCTGGCTTCTTCCCAGCCTCTACATAAGAAAGTCCCAGACTGTCGATAACAGGAAAATCGATCTTATGTATTTCAATTGTGAAAAGTCATATGATTGTCACACCACACATGTGCAGATGTAAAAAAAATAATTAGAAAATTAATATAGACACCAAAGCAACCAAAAATAACACCTAAATTGTCATGCCCTGCTCATCCGATCCTCCCGAGTGCCACGCCCCCTCATCTACCTCGTGTGGAATCCCCATGTAACCAGCTGTTTTATTGTTGTTAATTAGTCTGATGTATTTAAGTCCGTGTTTGAGTATGTTTCCCCAGTCCAGTCATTGAAGTCAGTCATTGTGTATGTGTGTAAATGTATTCCTTCGATTAAACCCCGTATTCTTCCGACCCCTCGAGTCCTGCCTTTGCTTCCTCGGTCCGTGCCTCGAAGCACATGTGACATAAATTAATTGATCTATTTTCTGAAAATATAAAAATGAGCTCACAATCCTTTACCATCTGACACACTCCAAAGCTGGACCAGATATAAGCATCATTTCATTTTGGCAACAATGTCTGTAAAATGCCCTTGATGGCTGCATATCACCTGGACATTTAGGCCTAGTGCAAAGAACCCTTTTTGACAGGTGCAGGTGGGATTTAAGGAGTGGAAAATACGAAAAGGGTTGAGGGTTCCATCTACTGCACCTACAAGGCCAGGTATGCCTGAAATGGCATGAAAATCAATTTTAGTGTCATGCAAGGCATTCCCTCCTGCTGAACATTGTATATAGTTGTGAACACAGTGCAATGTGATCAATGCATGCACAGATGTAGGACACAGCAGCCTTGCTGAGGCCGTGTGCATCTGTAGGTCTGCAGGAATCCACCGGTGGCATAGAATCAGAGAGCTGAACAGTGCATTGAGGGCAAAATTCCAATGTGTTCTGTTTTTTAATTTATCCAGCAGCACACCAAGAAGGGTCATTATTTCACCCCAGGCCAGGCTGTATTTCTGTATGAATTGTTCACTAATTAGATGGTCTGAGGTGTTTATGGCCACCTGTAAAACAACTTTGCTTCCTGGATGGTGCTGTCTCAATAGGTGTCTTCTATTGACTTGCACAGTTCTCTGCCATTGCTGGTTGGGAGGGGGGATTCACTTTCCCAATTCAAAAGATGTGAGTGAATGCATAGCAAGTTTGATTAGTTAGCTCATTATGTAGCCTACCAGGGTTGTTGAAAATTTATGAAGTGGATTTTGAATTGACTTGGCCACACACTGTAAGATGTTGAATTGGAATGACGGTAAGAATAATTTAATTCATTTCAATTCAATACAATCATACAACACATGAATGTCATTTAATCTAGCAAAATGTAAATAATTATGTAACAGATTTACTTCCAAGATAGTGGATGTACATATTGACCTTATACAAGTACTAGTGAATAAACTTTATATTTGTATGATTGTAAGATTAAAATTGTGTAATTGTTTTAGCCTTTTCTAACAATATGCATTTGGTTTTTGTCAGCCCTCCTTATCCATGTGCATGTATTCATTGTTTCTGCATATTGAACTGTTTATGTGTGCTACCATTTTCAGAAGTCTGCAGTAGCTTTTCCTGTGAGTGTCTTTGGGTTGTCAGTGGATAGGTTGTGATAGGGTTACTGTTATGACTGTATGAAGTGCTCTCTCGTCATGGTACACAAAATCACAGATAAATAATTTGTTCTGTAGGCGACACTTCATATAACAGTGACATGCACAGACTTTTCAGGCAGGTGCTCGAACAAGGGGGCATGGCCAATGGGTACTTTTTGCTGCCGTAAATATTTGTGATCGCCTGGCGGGGTTTTGGGTGGGATTCAGTGTATGCTGCTTGTATTAACATGCTGGTTAATTCAAACTGAAATATAAGCTGCATTATTAAAGCTGCACTTACACTATGTATATGAATTTATGTGAAATCAATTCCATTTTAATTCTGCTTCCTTATATTCAAAGTTGAATTGCGATTCTGCAACTGATTTCAACTGATTCATGCATTTTCAAGGTCGTTCTCAAGTCAGTTCTGAGTGGTGCCATATAGGTGTTACAGCAACGAGCCCCATTTGCACCAATTTACAGTCAAGATTATAGTTGCAATATTGACCTCTTTATATTGCAATATTGCTCCCTGCATTGTTATGTGTTTAGCATATATGTGTGGGACCTCCTTAAGGACAGCTGGAAAAGCGTCCCAGAAGGCCACCTCATGAAACTGGCATAGAGGAGACAGTAGGGTTAGCCAGTCTCTCTCTGGGACAATTGGGGTTAAGGGCCTTGCTCAATGGCCCAATGGTGAGATAATTCTGCCTTTCACAGGATTTGAACCAGCAACATTCTGATTCCCAACCCACAGAGCTACCTCACCCCATCCAACAAATTATTTTTTAAATACTTTTTTTGGTCAGTGCATAAGCCTTATCCCTACTGAAAATAAACTGCATAGACAAGCATGATTTCCATGCTGGTCTATGCTGGTATAGTTGGTGGATCATCATAGCTGCGCTGGTTTATCTGCACATGAAACTGGTCCACCAGCACCAAAACACAAAATATGCTGGTATAACAAACATGCATTACGCTGGCCATGCTGATAACCAGCTATGCTAGTCTATGTTGTTTTTTTTCAGCATTGTCCGACATCCCCTAGATTTAACGTAAATATCACAAAACGAAATAACATGTGATTTACAGTTTTCCTGTTTGGTTTTAAAACTGATAAACAAAACATGACGTCTGTTTTTTTCTTCTGTTTTTCCTTTTCCCGTTCTGATTTTAAAACTGAGAAAACAAAAACTCCCGCTTTTTTTTTTAGTTTTTATGCTTTGGTTTTGAAACTGAAAATTCAAAAAATCTAACGATACATGGATTGTAATAGGCTGCCATCGTCCGTCTTATTTTCAGAATAAAAGGTTTTCTGCGGATTTCACAATGTAAATGAAATATACAATGTTTTACTTGTTGCCAGAGTCATCAAGGGCATAACCCCCCTTTCTTGCGTGATGAATTAATTAGGGATCCCTGTTATTTTAGTTGCTGACTTTCACAGAAAAAACAGCGCTGACTTTCGCAGAAAAGAGTTATTTAAATTTTAGTTTTGATTTTTAAAGTTGGTTTGGTTACCCAACTTGGGTAATGGACTCGGTTTTCGCTACATGACACTTGATTTGTTAAAGATAAGGCTGGTCTTGACTAGGACTTGACTCAACTGGACTCAAACACGACACTGATAAATGAATGGGTGTAGTTTCATTTATCAGGACCGGAGCTGGGTAAAAGCACATTTATTGGCCTTCACATTTCTGGCTCATTCAGCATCTATTTCACATTTTTTCTTGTCATTTGATATGTACCTTTTATCATTATTATTTGCACTGACCCCCCTCCACACACACACACGCACACACACACACACACACACAATCTTTTTGAAATTCAACAGCCCTCCACACCACATTATCCCATCTAGAGCAGCAGGAGAGCTACGTGCGGCTGCTCTTTGTGGATTTCAGCTCTGCATTTAATACCATAAACTAATGGAAAAACTGGTGGATCTGGGTCTTCCACACTCCATCTGTGCTTGGATTAGGAGTCTGGTCGCAGTCAGAGGTGAGAGGGGGCCCTTATACATCTTCGGCCCTTAGCCTCAGCACTGGCTCCCCACAGGGTTGTATGCTGAGCCCTCTGTTATACACCCTGTACACTCATGACTGCACTCCCGCCCACCACAGCAAAACCATCATCAAATTTGCTGATGACACCGCCAGGGGCTTTAGAAGCATTTTGAATGTGGGGGGGACACACTGGCATAAAACTAATATTTTATGTTAAATGTGGGGGGGGGGTCCAAACGAATAATTATGAATTGTGAGGGGGACACGTCCCTCTCAGATTTAGTGGCAACGACGCCCATGGGTGGGGCTCATCTCTGGGGGCAATGAGACTGCCTACAGGGAGATGGAGCAGCTGACAGGGTGGTGCAGGGAGAACAATCTGCTCCTCAACACCTACAAAACAAAGGAGACCATCATTGATTTCAGAAGGAAGAAAGAAATTCTTCTACTGTACATACCTGTAAACGGGGGGTGTGTGGTGATGGAGTCCGTCTTTAGGAAGACCTGACCTGGGGAGTGAATACTACACAGATGCTTAAAAAGACCCAGCAGAAACTGTACCTTCTGAGGGTTCTTCGGAAAAATTACATCTCCCAAAGACTGCTTTTATTGGTGCTCCATTGAGAGCATCTTGACATATTGCATATGCGTGTGGTAGAGCAGCTGCACAGTGGCCCAAAAGAGGGCACTTCAGAGGGTCATTAAAACCGTGCAGAAGATCATCCCTCTCCCCACACTGGAGGAGCTGCACCATTCTTGGTGCCTCAAGAAGCCACAAAACATCATAAAGGATCAAATTTCTCATCCTGGACACACACTCTTTGAACTGCTTCCGTCAGGGAGACGGTACAGAAGCATTAAAACAAGGACCAATAGATTTACGAACAGTTTTTATCCCACTGCAGTAGCTTCAATTAATGCTGACTATACATGATTTTTGAATGCACATTTTTTAGGGATTTGTGCAATGATGTTCGAATGTATGTTTGTGTATGTGTGCGTGAATGAATTAATGAATGTTTTATTATCTGTTTTTATATGCTCTCTATCTTTTTTAATGCACTGTTTTAGATGGCACTTACAATTTCATTGTACCTGGTACAATGACAACAACAATAAAAGCTAAAACTAAAAACATACTGTACCTCATTTTGTACCCTAAACTTGAATGCCAGTTTGGCTTTTTGAAATATTCATGAAACTCCAGGACTCTAACCAGCTGAGTTAATACTATTGAGTAGTGCTTGGCACTGACTTTAGTGTTACTGTTTGGGTTATGGTCTTTGTTTGGGTTACACTATTTTAAAATGTACTGTCTCTTCTACCCTAGGCTGGCATCTACGGAGTCTACGAGAATAGCATGGCGGGAGCAACATGAAGGACATGAACTGCACTTGAGAGGAAATCCTGTACCATGTTGAATTTTAAAGGTTTCATACCTGCTGTAAGTCACTGTAATTGAATAAGTTCACAATTTCATGCCATTTTAGGCATGAAAGTATTGTCCATTACATTAAAATCAGTATATCTTTTAGTATAACTTTTTAGTTTTTAGTAGCTTTTAGGGCTGATTGTTCAGGGATTGTCAGCCTGTCTGTACACAGATGAACATGTCTCTCTGAAGATTCGTCTGTGTTCATGGAAAAAATGAAGTAGGCTACATTTTTAAGTACCATGTCTGTGAAATTGAATTTTGGTCAAAATATCCATTAGAATTCACAATGGTGTTGATCCCTGTGTTTATCAGTCATGGTATGTTTGAGACATTGAAAATGAAAATGACTATTACCTACTGAACAAAAAAATAACCGAAACACTCAAACAGGTTTTATTACTACCTGTGCAGTAGATGGATTACTGAAAACACTGATTATGAAAAATTAGCTTTGTTATCTAGCAACTAGTGCTGTCAAACGATTAAAATTTTAATCAGATTAATCACAGGGTTTCTGTGGATTAATTACGATTAAATATCATTCATTTTTAATCTATATTAATCGCATTTCATTTTTGCATGAGCAAACTGACTCTAGAAAAAAGGGAACATATATGCACTGAACATGTTTATTGAACACGCGCTGCTTAGCCAGACAACTTGTCAGATTTAAGGTACCTCAGTTTAAATGGTCTTTATCTTCATTCACTTACAGTTAGCCCGAACTACCGTAAATCCGACTAATCATGAAATCCAATTCTAGCCCAGTTAATTGCCATTGTTAGCAATATCGGTTGATAACACATTAAGTATTAAACTCCGTAGCAACATGTCCACAGATAAATTGGACGGTATAGGGTGTGCGACCGATTTAATGAGCCACAAATGAGAAGTAGTGCTTAAACAGTATAAAACTACAACTTTCCCTTCTGTTGATAAAGGGCGCAGCCATCTTGGACTCTGAAATCGAGATCCATTCCTCTGTGCTGCTCCGATATCGGATCTCCGAGAAACGGGATCGCGCATGTCAGCACTTCCGGCTTCAAAACTCGTAGTCCGAGTCCGACTTGGAATACGAGTTCCGAGGGCAAATGGAACGCACCAAAATTGCCCGAAATGGGTTGACAGAGACATTTCAGGGATTTTGAGTCATTAATGCGTTAATTGCGTTAAAAAAAATAATCAGATTAATCATGATGATGGATTAATCCGCGTTAACCCGTTAATTTTGACAGCCCTACTAGCAGCATTTGAAAGACGTATGTTCTGAGTGTGCCTAAATAAAATTCTGGATTTTTTTTCCCCCAAACTGCTGTTATCATAACACACAAACAAAGGACTTGAGGGTAATGGGAACTGAAAGGGGGTTTATTAAATCAAAACAAACAAGAAGACTAGCACAGACAACAGTGGCCTGTACTACGAAGGGTGTTTAACCAAATCAGACTTAACCCAGAGGTAATTTGCGAACGCGAGCTTGACAAAATCAGGTTGACTCAGTCGGGGCTAATCAGTACTATACGACGCCAGTTAAGAAGTTGATTTGTTAAATCGGTGTTAACTGCATTGGAGTTTGTGCGCGTTCACATGAATGGAGTACGTTCGGCAACACAAGGCACCGTTTGACTCATTGCGCAATCTCCATATGTTTCACGGAGGAAGATTGCATGCTAATTATGCAGGGTTATAAGGAGTTTAAATCAACGCTGTAAAGAAAGTTCAATACCACTGCAGCCAACAAAAGCAGGCAGGCTTGTTGACAACGTATTGCCGACGGATAAAATGCATACGTACATTTTCATGGTAATAAAACGTGGTCTAAAATATCTCACGACCGAGTATTAGACAATGAAGTGTTTTCTGAAAAGAATTGAAATACTGTTAATAATTACAGAGGCTAACAGATGCGAAACAATTCAGAAGTCACCTATTATATGCTGCTAAGTAATGTACTGCCCCCTGAAGTTCCATTACTGTAATGTTACTCATAATGTAAACTTAATGTTAACAATAACTGATCCGATTTCAAATGCAATAGTAGTGGAAAGCGTACGTGGCAGCAAGTCAAGATGAAATATAAAAACATCATGTCAAGTGGTAGAGCTATGTATTTATATTTCTACTCATTATGAAAGATTTGTTGTGTCTAGCCTCCACTTAATAGCGTGTTTCTATGTTTTACAGCTAATAATAAAAAGGTGTCTGTTCATATGACACTTAATAGAAGGTGAGCCACTGTTTAACAAACAATTAAATGATTTAAAACAGGACAAAACAGAAGCATATGTGTAGTGAGAAAACGACTAGGAACCTGTCATCGCGGTTATGTTAGCCTCATATTCCATATTCAGTTTTCTGACTTTAATGACTTTACGGAAGTAAGGTGGCCGTTTTTAATGACAGAATTGTGATGTCCAGTACACAGGCATCGATGCACACCGATTATTTTTCCGCTTCAAAACATTTCGTGATTTGTGCCAAATCATGTTAATAGCTAATATAATATGTCCTTTCAGCTGTAATGACATGGTGGTTTTGTATTTTGGGCTCATGGCGACTGTTGCACACGCCTTTGTTTCCCAGATTGCTTTACATATGAATTTTAATTAAATTTTTTATGTTAGAATGTATCCGTATACTGTGCAGTCGACAATACATGAATGTATTATTAACTTTAAAACTAGACAAGACAGGCACATCTATAGTGAAGTGTGCTTTGATCAGTGGACAACAGGGAACAATGCACACCCCTTGGGTTTTCAGAATAACTTTCTCTGTAACAGTTATTAATTAATACATTGTATGCATATTATAAGCCATTGCTCCATTTTATACATATTAACAGAGACAGCCCCTCGACACGATTCGCGCGCCAATGTCGTACGGATCATCCAGGTACGCCGGCATTGTCTTCGGAGAAATTGTAGTTGGAGGGGCGGTGCTCATATAGGGCTGGCTTACGCAGAAACCTCGACTTAACCAAGAACAAAAACTGCTCGGAGCAGTTTTGAGACTTAGCGTAAATTGCCATGGCAACATGCCTCGACTATAACCTACCCACCTTTCGTAGTACGGGTTAATCGCGAAGTTACACCACACGTCATCAAGTTACTCGCAAAGTTACCCCGATAAGCCAGTAAACCCGCTTCGTAGTACAGGCCACAGGACAATACACCTTAATGATCAGACTGGGGCTGACGAGACAAAGGGGTATTTTAATACAAAGACTAACGAGAGACAACAAGCAACAGCTGTGGCTCATCAGGGCCACATGGGGGAGAAGACTGGAGGGTCAAGCAGACATGATGGGTAGGATGTAACAGCTGCAAAATGGGAGCCAAACCAAAAGTGTATTCTGAAAGGTATTCTGAAAAAGAATATAATTGTAATTTAAACATACAGATGATCAGGAAAAGCCCAACATATTTGCTTGCATTTGTAGCCAATGTCTCACCAAAATTACATATAGTGGAAGCCACCTCAATGAAATGTATTCCTGTTTATGCAATACCTTGTTTGTAATCATATTTGCTGTTTAACAGCTGTGCTAAATTGTATTCACAGGTGACTCCGATACTCATGATACTTAACTGGAATCTCTGCTATTCCTGTAACCAGGCTGAGTATGACATAGGTGGGGAGTGCTGTCCTGTGTGTCCTCAAGGTGAGTCTTTGGAAGACTGGCTCATACTGTCAGTGGGGGTTTGCCTGTCCTAACCTTGCCATTAATTCCATTTTCTTAAAAATTTGCCAGTTGAACACAATTCAATTTCTCTTTCAGGGGATAGAGTTTACAAACACTGTACAGCACAGTCCAGCACTTCCTGTGTTCCATGTGTTGGTTTGACTTTCACAGATGAGCCAAATGGTTTGACCAAATGCAAACCATGTACTGTCTGTGACCAGGGTGAGAATACCACAGTTTCCTTGGTTTTTCATGAATTCATAACTTGCATATTGTAGATATTAATTTTGAACAGAATAAGTGGGTACATGGATCTTCATATCATGATGTGGTTCATTATCTCCTGCAAACAGGCCTTGGATTGAAAACAGTGAGGGCCTGTACACACTATTCAGATACAGTGTGTGGGGTCCTGGAAGGGCACTATTGTATTAATCCTTATAAGGGAGGGTGCAGGGCAGCCAATAAACACACAGCCTGCAGACCTGGACAGTTCATCAAACAGCCTGGTTTGTATGAATTTGTGTGGATGTTCTCAATACCAATGTAATAATAAAGCAAAACATTTGTTTGTCTTCCTAAGATTTGTGTCTTAAGGAGAATTTGTACTCTTTCCAGGAGCAGAATATATCGATACCGACTGTGAGGACTGCAGTGATAATTCATACTCTGATGGCTCTTTCACATCCTGTAAACCACACACAGAGTAAGGTTTTTGTATTCCTTAATTATGCGCTGGAATTATGAATAAAATGTTATTTTCCTATGAGTTGTACTATGTTTTATCAAAATGGTTTCTCATATTATATATATGTCTTTACAGCTGTAAATCCAAAGGACTTCTAGCAGTTAAAGCTGGAGACAGAACATCTGATTCTGAATGCAGTGCGGCCAATCCTGTTACTACGGGCAGCATTAATAGCTGGAACAGTATACTGATATTCCTTTTTCTGATTGTGAACAATTTCCTTTTATGAAATAAATGTAATCTTACTCTCCAGGTACTTTTTATTGTTATTAATTACTGGTCTTATAATCATATTAAAAAAAAAATCATTTACATTTAGCTTGACAATATAATGACATGTTTTATCAGAGGCTAATTCATGTATTTTCAGATCAATAACGACACGTTTTAGTGATTATGACCATGTAATTAGCTCCATAAGAATTGTTTCACTGATATGTTTTATTAGATTAATAATATGTTGATGTGGGCAAATAGCTACATGTTTTATTGATTACAACGTTATATTTGCGCCAGAGGCTTCGTCTTTTTTAATGTATTCTTCTGTCTTTGAATTGCCTTGTGTCTGAAATGTGGTATATAAACAGGGATGGACATAACTGGTACGCAAGTACGCATTCACCTTTTAAAAGCGATACGTGCGGCAATCGATTAATGTAACAGCGCATATACGTATGGGACACCTCTCCTTGGATTGCCACCTTATTGTGGTGGAGGGGTTTGCGTGCCTCAGTGACCCTGGGGGCTATGTTGTCGGGGGCAATAGCCCCTGGTAGGGTCTCCCAAAGCAAGAAGGTCCCAGGTAAGGGGCCAGACGAAGAGCAATCCGAAAAAAAACCCTGATTGTATTAAGAGAACTTACAGGTGGCCCCATAACTGGCCACGTCACCCCAGTAGCATAGAATTAAAGAAATATGTTGAATGTTCCCCTGTCACTGTGATGATTTGGGAGGTTGTAATTGTCCGACTTCATTACTCACGATTTGGTGGAGTACCTCCAACTCCACCTAGCAGACATACATATGAGGTGATTGAGGTGTGGATTGATTCTGACCGTGTGTGGACTAATCTTCCTGAAATTCAAGATACTGGGATACTTACTCTGTTTAAGGACACTTGTTCTGCTATTTCTGATCCATGGGATGCTAACCCTGTTCAAGGACATTAACTTTGTTTTTAGGGCCTTTCCTGGGAAGAAAGGGTGGTCCAACATGTGTTCCAACATGTGTTTTATACGTTATCGATTAGTGTGTGGACCGCTTATTTAGTTCTCAGAAGATGTTCTCATGAGAAAGGGGAAGTTGATCAAGGATACCTGTCTAATTACTTTTGATTGAAACCATATCTAGCAGTTGGTGTGTGGGACACTGATATTATCTAGAGGAAAGGGGAATGTGTTGATTATGGGAACTTGTCTTTGTACTTTTCATTTTAACCGCGAGCCGCATTACCTGGACAAGGTTGGAAATTTGTGAATGCCTTGCCTGAGGGGAGGGGTGAGCCTGGCCAGCTCGTCCCCTGTCCACACATAATGCCATTAGTATAAAGGAAGGGGGAGATCTTAGTGTTGGTTGGAGCTCAGCCGTGGGACAGAGCGTGCATCGCCCGGCACTTTCTCGGGACTCACATGTTGATCTCCTACCAGTACTGAAACGGGCTCCCCAGTCTAAGAGTGAAGGTGGGTGATGATGGCACGTCCGAGTATGAATAGCTTTGCAGTGTTTGTGTACTGATTTAATCATTATTGGGATTAATTATCATTTTATAAGAGTCACAATAACAATAATATTAATTGGTACTTTCTACATATGGATGTTTTATTTTTATATATACATATAATCAGTTGTATTGGCAGTTTGATTATTGTTTATGATTTATAATACCATTTGATTTTAATGCAAGGTTATTTTGTATTACTTGTAATAAAGCGTTATTAGAAGCGAACCTAAGTGTGTCTGTTTGTTCCTTCGAAAGCCCTATATCCCCCTCACATCATCTTGAAACACTGATGAAAAGTAAACATTACAAGGTCTTGTTTCCCTTGCTCAGACTAGGGTCACTGGGGCCCCACTCTGGAGCCAGGCCTGGGGGAGGGGTCTGTGGATGAGCGCCTGGTGGCCAGGCCTTGGCCTGTGGGGCCTGCTCGGGCCTAGCCCGAAAGAGTTATGTGGGACCATCCCCAGGTGGGCCCACCACCCGCAAGGGGAATATCAGGGGTTCGGTGTGATGTGGATTGGGTGGCGGCCAAGGGAGGCCCTGGCAGACTGATCCCCGGCTAACAAAACTGGCTTTTTATTCCAGTTTTTTTTTTTATTCCATCGTGCTGCTGGGGAACTGATCACCACCTGGTAGTGAGCTGGCTCAGATGGCAGGGCAGACCTGGCAGGCCCAAGTGCATAGTTGAGGGTCTGCTGGGAACACCTGCGTGCTGTTGACCTAACGTGGGGATATTATCCGGAGAAAGAAGGAATACTTTGAGGACCTCCTCAACCCTGCCTCAGATACATCTACACACACTGCCTTTGAGACATCTCAGGGCACGGGGCCCGAGGGTGCCAGGGTGGACTTGCCCATTACTGGGGCTGAGGTGGCCAGGGTAGTTAAAGAGCTCTGCGGTGACCGGGCCGTGGGGTTGAACGAGATTTGCCTGGAGTACCTAAAGGCTCTGGATGTTGTGGGGCTGCCGTGGCTGACACGCCTTCACAACAGTGTGTGGAGGTCAAGGACAGTGCCGCTGGATTGGAAGACCGGGGTGGTGGTTCCCTTATTTAAGAAAGGGGACCGGAGAGTGTGTTCCAACTATAGAGGGATCACACTTCTCAGCCTTTCTGGGAAAGTCTATTCCAGGGTACTGGAGAGGAGGGTGAGCTCGATAGTCGAATCTCGGATTCAGGAGGAACAACGCAGTTTTCGTCCTGGCCGAGGAACACTGGACCAGCTTTATACCCTTGCGAGGGTACTGGAGGGAGCCTGGTTTGCCCAACCAGTGTACATGTGTTTTGTGGACTTGGAGAAGGCTTATGACTGGGTTCCCCGAGGTGCTCTGCGGGGGGTGCTTCGGGAGTATGGGGTTCGGGGCCCACTACTATGGGCGATTCGGTCCCCGTATGAACGGAGCAGAAGCTTGGTCTGCATTGCTGGTAATTAACCAGTTCGTCGTGGCCAAGAACAAACTGAGCCGGAAAGCAAAGTTCTTGATCTATTGATCCATGTTCGTCCCTACCCTCACCTATGGTCATGAGCTGTGGGTAGTGACCGAAAGAATGAGATTGTGGGTGCAGGCAGCCGAAATGAGGTTTCTCCGCAAGGTGCCTGGGCTCTCCCTTAGAGATAGGGTGAGAAGTTCGGATATCCGGGAGAGTCTCAGAGTAGAACCGCTGCTTGTCCACGTCAAAAGGAGCCAGTTGAGGTGGTTTGGACACCTGGCGTGGATGCCTCCTGGGCGGCTACCTGGAGAGGTTTTCCATGTATGTCCTACAGTGAGGAGGCCCCGGGGCAGACTCAGGGCGCGCTGGAGGGATTATATCTCTCGGTTACCCTGAGAACGCCTCGGAATCCCTCCCGAAGGGCTGGTAGAGGTGGCTGGGGAGAGGGAGGTCTGGGTATCTCTCCTGAAGTTGCTACCCCCGCGACCCAAACCCCAGACTAGCGGATGGTAATAGATGGATGGATGGTAAATACGTATATATTTTATGTGCGTTATGACAAGAAATTACCTTGCATTTTAACCTCTATACCGCAAATGAAGAATGAATTAGCATATAAAGGTTAAAATGCACAATAATTTCTTGTCATATCAGCACAAATGCACATAAAATACGTACGCATTCATGCTGTTACAACAATCAATTGCCGCACGTATCGCTTCTAAAGGTGAATGCGTAGTTGCATACCAGTTGTGTCCATTCCTGTATATAAATAATCTCGCCTTGCCTTGCCTTGAGCAATGTTGGGCACAGCTAACTGAAAAGTTAGTTTCTATAACCGCTAATCTGCTAACTGCAAAGTTTAATTAGATAAGGCTAAACTGACAAACTACTAAAAAATTAGCGGAAGCTAACAATAAATACTCACTTTTATTATATGAATTTAGCTTTGGATTGGTTTTTCGCTCTGAAACCCATAAAAACATACCTAGAGAGCTAAAATTTTAACCTGTTTACTTACTCAATTCAGTTTACCTGCAAAAAAATGTCAGTGATTTACAGTTAGCAGAACAAAATTTAGCATTAGCTAATTGATAAGTTAGTAGTATGGCTAATCCACTAATGAAGTAATTAACTTTGCTAATCGGCTGTTAGTAGATTAGTGAAATTCTGCCCACTACTGACCTTCAGTGGTTGTAATTCTAATTTTATAGCCTTTTGCCCAATAGATTTAGGATTTAATATTGTATTAATTTCCATGTTTACTACATGTATATGTCATTAATTGTCAAAATATGTGATTAAAAATAAAGAATAGTTACATTCCTACTTATAATACAACGCCTTCTCATTTACTGTCATCTGTTCATCGAGCCTTTTTGAAAGCTTTGAAATTCAGCTTCTATTTGCTTGCAGTAGCATTTTGGCCGAAATGAATAATCTGCACATCACAAATTAAAGTCAAACCATTAAACATATTAAATATGGGTCACTGTCACAAACTTGAATTTAAAAAAATGTTATGGTTTAATATAGTGTGTTTTTTTTTTGTGTACAGCAATTGACATTCTTAACGTTTTAGGTGTATTCATTTCATCATTTGTTGTTCTTATTTGAAGTGATAATTTTCCCCAAATGCGTAGCCAAAAATCAGAAACACACAAATACATAAATTATTTCAATATTTTATTGCATGTGACTCACAATAATCTGTCAATTTCTATGATAAGATGTATATTTTCCTCAATTTTTTGCTAGTTTTTGTCCTGTGCAGAAGCCAGAAGACTTCAGGGCAGGCGTCAGGATAACAAAAGGGGCTTTACTGAATAACACAACAAATAATACAACTAATATTACAACTAAATACTACGGTAGAAACACAAGACCAGGGGCATGGAACAGACCAAGACAGCAAAGAGGACACCCGACAAGACACATGGCATGACCAGGGGCATGGAACAGACCAAGACAGCAAACAAGACACACACCAGGACAGGGCAAACAAGTAGAGGGGCAACAGGGACAGGGGTGGAAAGATAAGAGGGAGTCACAGGGAACACAGAGTAAAACGAGGGCAGGACAGGGCAATGGGGCAGGGGATGGGGCGTGATGAGTGGAAACGAAGGACGTCCGGGGAGTTCTCTAGGAGCTGGGCAGCAACCCTGGGACACAGACCCCCATGGGCCTGTTCACCGGCAAGGTGGAGCCGGTCTGGACTGCAGGAAGTCACAAACCCAGTGCAACCAGCTTTGTTTGTACTGCGAATTCAATTATATATAGTCAAAGATAGAGCTCAAAGGTATATACAGCCATAGCGGTCGTGGTCGGAAGCCGTGAGCTAGGACTGCGATACCCGGCACTACATGTACCATTTCTTAAACGATCACTGCTATAATTAGCTGCGAAAGAGGTCGGACCAGTGTAACTCTCCTAGACAGACTAGCATCCTCAAAAATAATAAGAAATCGACACCAGATTAACGAAAAATAGTATTAAATTGCCCAATGAACCCACCTCGGCGCCTAGGTGTCTGACAGCAGAAAGTTGTCAGGTGACTGCGGCATATTTACCGCGGGAGGATTTACGCTGCTTCGTCGCAGCACTGTTTCGTTTTTGCTTGAATCTACTATTCTACTTCCTTTTGCGTACTGATATTTCTGTTAAAAGCGTTAGAAGTATATTCTGGAACCGCATCACCGGCAAATGAAATGACGAAATTCATATTCAAGGTAATATATCTGCAGAGTTGTAAACGATGTCAAATAATTAATTTATTCCAGCTTCTTTTTAGCTAAATATTAGACTTCTTAAACAATCAGCTTAATAA